GGCGTCTGTCCACTGTGCCCAGCCACGACCCAGGACACTGTTCATATTACTGCTGCACCACAGAGCGTCATCTAAATACTTTTATTTTAAATAACCTGCAAATGTGCACATGTGGTCTGTGATACTTCCAGCTGTCTGTCACACTTTATACTGTTGACTATAAATAATGTATAAAATAATACACAGTTAGCAGTTAAAGTAATCTAAAGGTAATCAAAAAGTAATTAGCAATTACATTACCATAAATTTCTAATCTAACATACAGTGTTTATCTGACAAATGAATACAGTGTTAGCACAAAAGTAATCTAAGTATAATCTGATAACATTACTATAAATGTGTAATCTAAGATATAGTCTTATACTGTTGACTACAAATATTATGTCTGTCAAAATAACATAGGGTTAGCAAAAAGTAACGATAATCTAAATGTAATCTGATTACATTACCATACATGTGTTATCAAGGATACAGTATTTTTCAGCTGACTACGAATATTATGTCTGTCAAAATTATACAGGGTTAGACAAAAGTAATCTACATGTAATACAAAAGTAATCCAATTACATTATCATGAATAAGTCATATAAGATACAGTATTATACTGTTGGCTATAAATACTGTATGTTAGAATAATACACAGTTAGCACAAAAGAAATCAAAGGTAATCCAAAGGTAATCCAATTATTTTACCATAAATTTTTAATTTAACATACAGTATATATCTGTCAAAATAATACAGCGTTAGCACAAAAGTAATCTAAATGTAATCCAAAAGTAATCCAACTACATTATCAAGAATGGGTCATCTAAAATACAGTATTATACCGTTGACTACAAATACCTTGTTAGAATAATTAATAGTAAGCACAAAAGTAATCTTAAGGTAATCCAAAAGTAATCCAATTACATTAACATACATTTCTAATCTAACATACAGTATTTATCTGTCAAAATAATACAGGGCTAGCACAAAAGTAATCTAAGTGTAATCTGATTACATTACTATAAATGTGTAATGTAAAACAGTGTTATACTGTTGACTAAAATATTGCATTTAAAATAATACATAGCACACAAAAGTAAACCAAAGGTAATCCAAAAGTAATCCAATTACATTATCATACATTTTTAATCTAACATACAGTATTTATCTGTCAAAATAATAAAATCAGGGTTAGCACAAAAATAATCTAAAGGTAATCCGAAAGTATTCCAACTACATTATCATAATTGTGTAATCTAAGATGGAGTATTACACTGCTGACTACAAATGTTGTCATTTAATTTGTAATTAGAAACAGATTACAATTCATAAGTAATCCACCAAGCAAAATAAATGACCTATTTCAGTTTCAAAAGTTTTCTATGATTTTGTATCTATGAATGAAGCAATAAGGAGGAAATTGTAAAAATAAGTAAATAAAGGAAAAATTGTTAGAAAATAAAAATAAAATGAAAATGAAAACTGAAAATTTAAATATAGGAAAATATAGAAACAAACAGAAAAAACAAGAAGAGATAAGATGAAGTGAAAGAAAAACTACAAATATATAACTATTAGAACATTTGAGTGAACAATAAGTAGCAAATAAAATAAAATAAGAAAGGGAAAAGCTTAAAAAGAGGAGAAATGTAATCATTTTGTTAACACTCGCTCTCTGCTCTATCAGGATTTCTCCAAGTCAGACTCTCATTTGAATAAAATCAATCCAATGACAAACTGAAAAGAAGATTTAGAAAATGAAAAGCATATCTGCAGTTTTCCAGGATAAAAATATAAAAGAACGAGCAGACGAGCTGAGAGAAGAGAAAAAGAGGGAGAAGCGTGTGTGTGTGTGTGTGTGTGTGTGTGTGTGTGTGTATGCAGGGTCACTGAGGGTCAGTGTGTCATTATCAGTGTGAGACAGATGTGAGTCGCCTTACAGATGTGTGTGCGTGTGTTTGTGTGTGTGTGTGAGTGTGTCAATGCCGGAGGGAAGATGAATCCGTTTATCTGGAGCCGCTTCACCTTATCAGTGACTCTTTGGAGGAGCAGCGAGAACAACCACAAAACACTCACTACTGAGGGGCCATGGCCAGCGGGACCACCAACACACACACATACAGTTGAAGTCAGAATGATTAGCCCTCCTGAATTATTAGCCCCCCTGTATATTTTTTTTCCTCAATTTCTGTTCAACGTAGAGGAGATTTTTTCAACACATAAACATAAGCCCTATCATAGACTCGGCGCAAAGTGACGCAAGGCGCAACACAATTGTTATTTGCTAGTTTCAGCTTGGCACAAGAGTGGTTTTGAGGAGTTGCGCTACGCTGTTTAAATAGCAAATGCATTTGCGCTCATATGTGCGCCCATAGGCGTTCTGGTCTAAAAAGGAAGGCGTTCTGAGGCGCGCTGCTATTTTGAGAAACTATAATAGATTTTTCAGTAGACCAAAACAAACCCGGTCTAAAATCCAACGCAGAGTTGCGCCTCGCTTACACACTGCTTAATACACATAAGATGTAGAGCAATACGCAAATATCTTTATGTAACGTTCGCTTGCAGAATGTATTTTGGATAAGTGTGTGCGTTTGTTTGTATGTGGGTGTGTCGTTTCATGCATGTGTTACATTTACGAACAGCATTGGAGGATCCGCATTTCGTTCCGATGACGTTGGCCGCTGATGCTGGGTTTGCGCCACCAATCGCTGGTTGGCGTAGCGTTTAAAAGCCTGTTCATTTATTCGTTTGCTGGAAATTAGAACTGAATTTAGAAATAGTTTTGAAACAAATATTTCCGCTTAACAAACAAAATTAATTATTTATAGGCTAATTGATGTCTGTGCGTAAAGGTTTCCCTCTCCGCGAAAGTGAAAGTAGATCATTTATCTCTCATTCGCGCGCGGTAGATGCTCTGTTTAACTGTTTTCTTGCAAGTGAAATGCTCAGTTTTTCCACTCACACTTACTTTACGTCATGTAAATAGCAAATACGCTTATGGCGCAACACAACTGGCTCTTAAAGGGAATGGGAGATGAGACTCTGATGGGTTTATTCTCAAAACACACCTATAACTCATTAAGAAAATAAACTCAACCCTTTTAGACCATGCGCCACAGCGCAAAGCGGATTTTCCCGTCCTTATATTAGTTAAAATGCATTCTGACACGCCCTGAAAGTGTTTGCGCCCTGCGTTTTGCGCATGGACCGTCAAAATAGAGCCCAATAGTTGTCATTTCTAATAACTGATTTGTTTTATCTTTGTCATGATGACAGTAAATAATATTTGACTAGATATTTTTCAAGATACTAGTATTCAGCTTAAAGTGATATTTAAAGGCTCATTTAAGGGGCTAACTACACAAGTTAGGGTAACTAGGTAAGAATTTTTTACAGGGGTTTGTTCTGTAGACAATCTAAAAAATATTGCTTAAGGGGGTTAAAATGTTTTTTTTGTTTTTTTTTTATTAAAAACTGCTTTTATTCTAGCAGAAATAAAACAAATAAGACTTTCTCAAGAAGAAAAAAATATTATAGCAAATACTGTGAAAAACTCCGTGATCTGTTAATATTATTTGAGAAATATTGGACAGAAAAAAAAATCACAGGGGGTGAATTATTTTGACTACAACTGTATATATGCACGCACACACATAGATGCAGAGGAACAACACACACACACACAACTGCTACTGTTCAGTGAGGTGATTTCTGGTGCAATAGAGGGTCATATTTTTCACCTGTTTTCCCCTGTTTTGTTGGCCATCAATTGAGAATATTCTCCACCAAATGTAACCCTCCTTTTTACTTTTATTACCTATTTCTTTGCCATCAACTTTAATAAGTTGACTTATAATTTAAATAACATCTTACAAAACTCTCAATTTACAACTTATAGAACTAAAATATAATTTATTTCCTTTCATTTACTCGTGGTTTTGTGCATTATTAAATACATATTCTTAGCATTTTTTGTTGCATTTATTTATCATAAGTACATTTCTGACAAGAAGTATTTTTTCTACTATATACTTAAATATATAGTAGGTAACTGATCAACGAAAAATACATTCGAATTAAGAAACAAATTACAGCAAACAAAATTAGTTTAAAAAATATATATTTTTTCAAGGAAAGAATATATGAATGATATTTTTGTTTGTGCCCGTCCAACTGTGCCACGATGATTTTTTCAGCTACTTAGAAAATAAGGATTTAATTAATGCTTCACAGCTGCTAATAGCAACATTGGCAGGAAAATATACATTTAGATTTCAAAGAAAATCTCTTAAAATTAAAAGGGAATCATAAGTTTAATCCTATTAATGTCGTTACCAATGCCTTTAAATAATGTAACCTAAATGTCTTTTTAATGATTAATGAAGGAATAATAATGCTTTGTTCCAGTTCATTTTGCAATGGCAATCCCTGACAAATAAGGGATTAAGCCAAATAAAAATAAATGAATAAATTAATGAATTATTATTATTATTATTATTATTATTAGTATTGTACATCATGTTTTCTATTTATTTATTTAATGATCAATTTATTTATTTATTTTTCAATCTCTTTTCTCAACTCATGTTCTATTTCCCTACACAGACCCTAGATATTTAAAACAAGCAAAGCTAAAACTCTCCTCCATATTTACTTCAGCTAATTCTATTCTAATTGTGTTCATCTGGGATTATGAGGCCTGTAATCCTGCGCTACAGACACTAAACTCCCCCACTCGACTCTAAACGAATGCTTGGGCTTATAAATCATGCACTGCAAGCCATTTTAGACTCCAGCATCTGCCAAATGCAGGAAGGTTATGAAGGCATTACTGCGTGAGCGTGTGCTGCAGTCTGAGGACTTTGCCAAAACTCTGAGTTTGTGGTGACTGGAGGGAATCTCGAGTTGAGCGCTCGGGTTTCTCTGGCACGAGTCTGGCATTGGTTAATCGACGCCAGAGAAGAAGACTGGAATTACACTCCTCTGCCACCCCACAAGAAACAGAGTTACTTAC